TACGTGCATAAGACACGTAAGGCGTATATATATATATATATATATATATATATATATATGTATATATATATATATATATATATATATATATATATATATATATATATATATATATATATATATATATATATATACAGAGAGAGAGAGGGACTATATATTATATAGTTTAGTGTGCTACTGTATGAATGATTATGTTGCTTTTTCTACAACAGAAAAAAACTATTGTAGCCCCACCAACCAACCAAAATCCAATGGTAAATGCTCACATGTTGTTCTTTTTTAATATTGAAGTTAAATGAATAAATATCTGAACTAGAAACTAACAATGTTTTATAAAATAATATTGTTTTTAATGTAGTCTACATTTGTAATTGCATTTTATCCTGTACAAAATTGCCACAACAGTTCTTTTACAATATTACCTATATGCTTTTCCATTTAGCTATATTATTTTCGTGTTTTATCTCAACAGTCAAGTTAATTATGACGTACAACCAATATCAAGCTATTAATTTGGAACATGTATGCGTATTGCTTTCTATCGTATTTAGTTCCATTACAATATATTTCAAATGTTGTATTTAATTGTAATTTTATACTTAAAAAACTGTGCTGTTGTTAACGTTAATGTGTTTTGTTGGTGCTTAAAATATTTCTTTTTTACTTTCAGCAATTTAAAAATAACTTTGGTGATATTCATGTAAAAAAGTAGATTAAATTCAAGACTGCAAAAGATCAAAGAAACTCTTTTGGATTCGGTTTTGTTACTTGATTTCACAATTTTCATGTAACATGTTTAAATTATTTGTTGACATTTCTGGGCAAAACAAAACTTTATTTTTGTTCATAAACTTCAACTTATTTTGTGATTTTCAACTCTGTTTGTTCAGTCAATCTAAGTATTTTTCATTGTTTGAGTTATGTTTTGTTTCGTGTATTTACGTGTGATGAAAACCAGAATAACCAAAGAAGGGGAAGAGAGGGGGGTTTAAATAAACTTATGTGGACTATTCGGTCTGGTGAGAGAGGTGAGAGAGGGAGGGGAATCAAAGGACATGTTACAGTCCAAACTTTAGATTTAACATCACTTTGTCTAACTAGTTAACTTATACAAAATATTAAGCTTGCATGTTAAATAAAAACGAAAGTGCTAGGGTTTTATAAAAAGTAAACAAAAGCACGCCATACGGTTAATTTATCCTCATCTTTTCCCGTTCTTGTCCAAGACACATGAACTAGAGTTCATCTGTTACAGAGACCTCAGTATATGAATGGATAGTGTGGTCAGCACGATGCGAAACCGCCTTTGTTTTCCCTAACGTGAGTTAGGTACCCATTTGAGATGTTTTAACTCATGAACATTTACTGACTTGAACCAAGATTCGAACTCGAGACTTTCGGGTTATCAGCCAATCAGTCCCCTAAATAAATCATAAGGTTATGACATATACATTTATAAAAGATGTATTTGGGAATCTACACTTACGGCGGTAACAAAGTTCTGATTACGTGTAAAAAAAACCCAGACAAAAGCAAACGTTACGCTCACATATTTCTTCATAATCTGACGTAATAGCAGAAAGTCCCTTCTATTTTACACACACTGAGAGAAATATCAAAATTTAAAATATTAAATATGTTATTCAATGATTGCTGTAGTGAGCGTGTTTGATTCCTCGCTGAATTTGAAAAAAAAATACTCTTAAAAAATACCCATAGTTAGTGCTGGGGCGTAAAGGTTTGGATTTTATTTTTGAAAAGGGGACATTACCCTTAGGGATTGAGCCTAGGGGTTATAGCCCGGAATTCAAGTATGATCCTACGACCAGAATGTGTGACAAATGTAAGCTGGACTCAATGTGTGATTCACCGTGTAATCAGTATTGAATTTTTTTCGTCAATAAACATAATGTTTTTTTGAAATATTGTCACGTTCATCGAATGTGATCAAATATAGAATAACTTTTTACACAGCCAGAATTAAACATGTGACTAAACCCATCAATACAGAAGTCAATGATTTCAACACAGAAAACTATTTTAATTGGATAGCACTAAAGCTTTGAAAGCAATACAAAATCACGAATTTCATTACGTCCTTATACTGCAGTTTGTATAAATAGTGAGAATATTTTCTGTTTAGGCTACAGAAAATTCGCTTCTCAAAGCAAACTTCACTTTCAACAGGTATCTAAACCAGTCAAGTAAGTATAGTTTCTTTTATTAAAATTATATCAATTTCCGTCAGATTTATTGTAAACAAATATACATTTGACTTTGATTAATTTATAGTTTTGATTTTTAAATTTTTGTTTAATTTTATGTTTTGTTGATGTAGTAATTTTTAAAATTTCTTTAAAATAATTCACAGTCTGAAATGGCCTCTAAGATGACATGCGTTTTAGCATTTGCCATGCTCGCACTGTTGTGCGCTGTACAGGCTGCCCCAGTAAGTTTTGATTGCACATATAGATTTACAGTTTTTATATAACTATATATATATATATATATATATATATATATATATATATATATATATATATATATATATATATATATATATATATATACATATATATATATATATATATATATATATATATATATATATATATATCAGGTGTATTTAAATAAGCTGTTTTACCTATATAAAATATGTTTATGCAAAGGCATAGAGCTATACGATTTTTAACCATCTTTAAAAAAAGATTTGTGTGCATTCTTATACTTTTATTATCAAAGCACAACATCAAGTTCACTCAAAATTAATTTTTAATTTTAAATATTCTTTAATTAATTCTTTTAAATTATTATTTTAGTGTTTTACTGTTTTTTTTGTGTTAAAAATATGGTATTTTCTTTTCCTTTTGCAGAAAGAAGGAAAGCAGGTATGATTTTAATTATCTGTTGAATATTGGGTTTAGAAATGTTCTCACTAGTTATGGAATAGATAGTAGTTATAGAACAGTGAAAAGAATGGAAACTATTGTAATTTTGTGTTATTACAAATATTAAATGTTACGGTTCCTGGAATTGTCGATGTTTAAGGATAATTGTGAATTATAAAACGTAAATTTAAATACATTGTGAATAGGAGCCTAAAGGTTAAATCAGGTTTAACTTGAAGAACTTATTTAATTTTAGTTAACATTTGGATGATCAAATTATCTTAATTTTCCGTTCTTGATCAAGATCTAAGCATATGAAAGTATATTATGGTCAGCAATATGCCCAGCCGCCTTTGTTTTCTTTAACATGAGAAACCATCAGAGCTGGGTGGATTCAGGGACATTCTATATACTTAAACCCGAATTCGAACTCGCAGCAGTTAATCTCGATACGGCTAGGCCACTCAGTCCCATAACGCATGCATGTTAGTGTATCATCTCCATCTAGTAATGTACAATCTGCTTGCTCTGATTGCAGGACAAACCAACCGGGTCACCTTCCCTTGACAAAGTAAGTCAATATTTTAATCCCTCAGTGTGAGTGGAGAGAAGAGATGTACATTTAAATAGAAAGAAAACACTGTGACGCTAAATCTATACACCACAATCATAACTTTCAACTAGCTACTTGATAATGTTCTTACACACTCTTTTCTCAACATTCTTACCGTATGGGCACAGGGGCGTAGCGAGGGGGGGGGGGCGGGGGGTGCGGACCGCACCGGGTGACACCATTTAGGGGGGTGACACCAAGGCAAAAAATGGCAAAATATAGAGAGAAAAACTTGAGGGGGGGGGGGTGCAAATCGAAAACTTGAGGGGGGTGCAAAATCGAAAGTTTGAGGGGGGGGGGTGCAAATCGAAAACTTGAAAGTTTGCCCCCGGCAAGGGTCGCAACGCCTCTGCGGGGGTGACACCATTAGGTGCCGCACCGGGTGACACCCGACCTCGCTACGCCACTGTATGGGCATATATATATATATATATATATCATCTGCTGAAAGAGTATGTAAATTATTGTCCTTTAAACATGCTTCACGTTTGTTTAACTGTTGTGATCTATTTCATCAATCTGATTTGTTTGTACTAGTTTTTTTCTTCTACTGCTATATTTACACAATATAAAATGAATAGTACTAGTGTGTAATCTATGCGCTTATGTTTTATGTTTGAACAGAAAGAGTCAACTGGATCACCATCCGATAATAGTGTAAGTCGATAAGTGACTGATGATAAATAATATGCAATATAAATAAATGTATAAAGATACCTACTATTATAATATATATATATATATATATATATATATATATATATATATATATATGTATATATATATATATATATATATATAATTTTCTATTTCCCGTTGGGTAGAAATCAGTCTCTGGAGAATCATCTGCTGAAAAAGTAAGTAGTTCTTTAGTTTATTATCTATATAACCATGCTCAACATGAATATCTATAGTGATCTTTTTATAGCTCCGTACAGGCCCATTATTCTATTTATAAATAACTAAGCAGTTATAAAATACTTAACCTGTTTTATGACGTTGTAATGCGAATCGTAACAATTAATACTGATAAAATATTTCTTTGACCTTCAGAGCAAACCAACAGGACCACCTCCTGCTAAAGCAGTAAGTAAAAATATCTGACGTGTGTTAAACAAGTTTTATCTACTTATTCAAGATTACTAGTTTAAATTACCAATTTAAATATTTCCAAATCAACAAACAAGCTTTTTAAAGAATTAACTCACAAGAAGAAAGCAAAAATAATTTAAACTGAATAGATGTGTAATTTTTAAACAATATTGTTTTATTAAATCATTTTTAAAATTACTGTGTTGTTTTGTTATAGTGAATTATTGTTAAATCATTTAATTAGTTCTTGTATTTACATATGTTCCTTGTTAAATAACTTCAATAATATTTTTAAATATTTTTTTTTAATTTAAAAAATAAAGGGATAGAATCGGTCGTTAAAAATACAGTATTCAAACGTATGGTTATTCCCCTTATTATTATTTTTTTATTTCTTTATAATTTAGCGCGCTGAACCTTCAAACCCACCACCAACCAGCCAAAAACCACAAAAGGTAGTTGTCTATAGACATTTCCAAAAGCTTTTAAAATAATTAATTAACTAGTGTATTATTTCATATTGAGATTTTTGTTTAATCGTTTTTTTAGTTTCAGAAAGTTTGTCTCATATATTTTTGACTAATATTTTTTCACTGTATATATATATATATATATATATATATATATATATATATATATATATATATATATATATATATATATATATATATATATATATATATATATATATATATATATCCACGTTTCTACTTTCTCTAGGCTTCAGATAAAGGAAAAGGCGTAAGAACATTGTTTTTAATTGTTTATATTTTTTTATTTCATCATTAGTATTGGTTGAAAACTGCATAAATAGGCCTACATTTTTAAAAATATTAATATCATTCTTAAACGATAATAATAATATTTTCAAATATCAATACATTATCAATTATTTGTATAATTATATGATGTGTGGGATAACAATAACAAAATCTTAATTTGCAAAACTAATTAGGACTAGACGTTATTAAAACATTTTATTTTTATATAATAGTCACATCAGAGCATCAATTTACAAATGTTCCAAACTTTATCATGTTTTTTTTTATTATTTGACAAGCATTTCAGTAAAAACTTGACTTGAAATGAAAAACAGTTTAGATACATAAAACAGCCATTTTAAAATCTCATTCTTAATTATGTCTTCTCTATTGGCACCTCTCCTCTCCACTCCACTACCTATTTAAAACTACTTGCATTCACTCGACAAAGGTTACACAGCTTAAGTAGTGTTATTCAGTTCACGTTTATTCACAAATCAACGTAACCTACTCTATGTTAGTCGCTACCGAAAAAACCTCTAACAATCGTTCTTCCGTTTTATACATGCATTCTAACTTGATAATATATATATATATATATATATATATATATATATATATATATATATATATATATATATATATATATATATAAATGCGCCGAGATAAGTCAACATACACAAGCACTATCCCTTAAGTTCTAGACTATTCCAAAATATTCTAACCATACTCAGAAACGCCGACTACACTTTTTTTCAATTGTAACTTTATTTTGAAAACATTACATTTAATACATGTTTCATTTGAAAGTCTCAAATAAGATTTGAATTGTGCAAACTATAGAAGACAGTATGCAGTGGCGTAGCTAAGATTTTCGGGCCCCTATGCAAAAATTATCAGTGGGCCCCTTCGTCACCCGTTAGGCTATAACTGAGTTAAACATGGGCAGCGGAGAAATCGATTGCTATTAGTGTTTCTTCCAGACTTTTTTCTCGGTGGGGGGGGGCACTCGAAATTTTCGGGGGGGGGGGGGGGATGCGGGCGGACTAAAACTTCGGGAGAGGGGGGACGGGGGGCCGGACACTATTAAAAGTATATACTTTCTATATCGATTCCATTTTTTTCGGGGGGTAGACTCTCTTCGGGGGGGGGGGGGGGGGGAGAGGTTTCTGTCTCCTTCCCTCCTCTGAAGAGATGCTTGGAAGAAACACTGATTGTTACTTACGAGGGAGGAGTTTTAAATAATGTAAATTTGTATATGTCCTGATTGTGTATTTATACTGTACTGTAATATTATGTACTGCACCGTAATGTAAAAATCATTGCGTCACAAGGCAAAGGTCCACATTGGGTAACACCTTTTAGCTTTGACACCATGACAAAAATTGTAAAATGTACTGTCAAAACTATGTTTTATCCAGTTAAAATACTAAAAGATTATTAGGAAGAGAGGGGTGACAGCCCACAAAAAATGCAAAATTGTTGGGGGGGGGGGGAGGAGGTGGCGGGGGGTGGGTGGTTTACACCTTCAGTAAACGCTCAGGGGGACGGCCAACCTTGTGACCGCTAACCAAGCACAATTTTAAAAAATTGTATCTAAGTTTATTTAGATTTCATTTCTTTTTCATGCTTTTAAGTTTGCAAAATTATTAATGAGCTTCTTGAGATCTATTTTAGCTGGCCAAGTTACTGATTCAAAAGGCATAATTACAATTTGTTTCATAACATCATCATGTTATGCAAATAATCAGATTTAAAAATCCCATCATAGACATCAAACTCTCCATTATCACCATCGAATGTTAAAGAAATTTAATACGCAACTGGCATACCCGTCCACATTGCTGCGACCTAGTCGTACTTATAGGGGAAACAGAAGGGAGATGAAGGGTGGTGGTGGGGGGGGGGGGGGTAGGGAGTTTCCCACTCAGTTGAGGTTTTTAGCGAAACGTGAAAATATACGGGTGCTGGATGTCGTATCTCACATTCAAATTTTATAGGCTGATTCTCTGAATTGCTTACCAAAACTGCGGCAGCGCCTGTGGTGTTATTAATACGGGTGGGCCCTGTTTGACGCCAGCCCTCCCCCACATTCAGCGCCTGTGGTGTTATAAATACGAGTGGGCCCTATTCGACGCAACACACACACACACACACTGAATGCCACTGCCTATACACTATGAAAGGACATGGGGCCTTTTTTGAAATTTTTAATAATTTCTACAGTAGAAAATAAACAACTTGATTTCCATTTTCTTTTTGAAATTGTTTATATAAAATAAATATTAAAGTTAATTAACTTTTTTAAAGAAGGAACAGGGCCCCTAAGTGCCTTGGGCCCCTATGCCTTACTTACTCTAGCTTTACGGTAGCTACGCCACTGCCAGTATGACGTATTTTACACAATAAACGATCAACACAGCAGATAAAGTATAGCTCTTCTGTTGACGAATGCACGTAAAGTGTTTATGACTGAAGATTTATGCTTTATTTCCACAGAAAAACTAACCAGCCTACAGGAACCGTTGTGGTGAGATATGTTTTTAAATTACTTTATTGCAATTTTGATTTATTTTTCATTTAAAATTTTTATATAATTATTAAATAAAAAATATACGCTCCATAAGATTTTCTAAAAACACTATAATAAACCTAAAAGCACTTTATTTATTCCAAATTTATAAAAATCTTGAATACTTACTTTGTTATTTTCATTTATTTTTTTCAGGCGGAGAAACATATTTGAGATTTTAATAAAAGTAATTATAAATTCATTTGAAATAATGGTAATATTTTCGTTATTTAAATTTGTGAAATGTAAAACAAATTAAAAAGATTTTTAAAAATAAAGTATGTTGTCTTTATGTTTCTAGTTCGTTTTACTTTTAACAGTGTTTGTTTCTCGATTTGGTTATCGACATTGATCAGGACATGCTTTGTGGTATTTGCTTTTTTTATTTGGTTTTACTTATAAGCGGGTTACTTTTAAACATACCTGTGGGCAGCGAACTGCATTATAAAAGTAGCATCAAAGTTTAATTTAACACACTAAATATCGGTTAATATAATTGTGAAAATATTTTTAGCGATAGGCAGCATTTCTCTTAAAACGATGGCGTTTTGTTGCCTAGTATAATTTGATTTCATACCTCTTGAATCTTAGCACATTAAAGAATCAAACCTGACAAAATGATAATATAAATAATCTGTAAAGTTCTTTTTTCTTTTCTTACCGTTTGAACTCAGAATATGAAAGAATTATGTGGTCAGAACGATGCCCAGCCACTTTTTACAATCCCAAACGTGAGTCTGGTGCCCATCTGGGCTGATTGGACTCTGGGCGTTCTACTTACTTGAAAGTGTAACTACTATCATAGACCACCAATATGAATATAAATAACTCACGGTATACTAATTTTTAGATGGGAAACGCTCAAAATTAAACAAAGTACCTATCATAACACAAGAAAAAGGAAACAGGGAAGGGCAAGGAAAACTTGGAGGGACACAACAGAAAGACAACATTAAAGCAGGCTTATCTTGTGGAGAATGTTCAACAAATCGCTCACAAAAATAAAAAGAGCTTTCTGCTGCGGCGGAAAGGATTTGAAAAAGTAGTCCTATATTCTGGTTCCTTTGGTACAAAACTCTCCCCCTACCCCACTACTCATACTTGGATGTGTAACGAATGAAAACTATCTTAAACCTACGCCTAAAAAATAACCCACATTCGACATTTAAAACGCAATAACCCAGAGCATTAGAAATATACTATTATAAATATATTTTATCATATTTTCTAAAATTATTATCGTAGAAATATGCTTAAGATCTGGTTTCTAAAAAAATAATAATAAATATGTAAACTAAAATTTTAAAATCACCTTATCCTTGGGAATGTAACTCAAGAATTAATACAATACAAAAATAGCATAGATCAGTTATGGTTATATTATCGACGTGTTTTTGCAATCCTTAAGTCATATTTTAAAAGTCGTGTTTGAAACGTGGTGATTTTAGAAAAAGAAATGCGGAGTATTATTGTACAAAATGTATCTTGTACAGAGCAGCTTTTGTTTAAAAAAATGTATAACACCAGTTCTACAGCTAAAATACAACAGTTAAGCTGCTGTGTTGGGTTGAACTAGTTTCCAGCCATGACACAAGTAATCCATGTGCACTAAGTAGGTAAACACGTAATAACACTGTGGCATTCTTCATTCATCTGGAGCGGCCGGTGAAAGGGGGGGAGGTTGTATGCACAAGTCACGATCTCTATTAAACTTGGATTTAAGCCAGTCAGTTACAGTCAATTTAACCGCGTGTGTGTGTGTGGGGGGGGGTGTCATAAAACAGAAATGTAAGCTTTCCGAACACTGGAAAACCGGCTTTTGTAAATCTAAAGCTAATACTCATATACATTCATGGTTGTACGAATATATATATATATATAGATATATATATATATATATATATATATATATATATATATATATATATATATATATATATATATATATATATAATATATATATAGATATATATATATATATATATATATATATATATATATATATATATACAAAGAACGTATATGTGTCAGTATTGAGACATATGTGTGGTTAACGCCAAAAATCGATCCTTCATTGGTTAACCAGCAGCTTAAGAGATGAGGGTACATTGTCCTGAATGATTCATGTTATCTATTGTGTAGCCAGCAATGTCGCGAGCACGTTCAGTCACCGCTTAGGTCTTCTATACAGCAGATCTAAAGAATAGTTTTACATACATCTACGTATACAGGCACACGCGCACACTCATAGAACGCACATACATACATTAACATAGGCGCTCGTGCAAGCACGTACCTACTAATATATATATATATATATATATATATATATATATATATATATATATATATATATATATATATATATATATATATATATATATATATATATAATATATGTTATATATATATATATATATATATATATATATATATATATATATATATATATATATATATATAACATATATTACATACATTTACAAACATAGGAAAAGGTGCATACACCGACAATATCTATCGGTGTTGAGAGCATTATTACAAAATACGTTTCTGTTTTTATTTTCCAAATATGTATTAATTTGAACAACTATTTGTTGTTTTCCCTAACTCATTAGTAACACACTAGCTGTATCTAAAATGCATAAACTATACAAGAGTTTTAATACAAGATTTTAGTTTAATAAGTACAATACTGTTGCACCTTCTTTAAGCGTGTTGCAAGCCTTGTGCTATTTAGTGAGTTACTTCTTCAACAATGGTATTCAACATAAAAAAGACATCAATTATGAATAAGATACACATAAAAAGCAATTCAGTTTTTCTATTATATTCCTTGACACGCAGACAAAAGAGCGTACCGTGTTAAGCTTATGACTTAGTGCGCTAATGGCGATTGTGCAATATAAAAATGCGATGTATTGTGCAATATAAAAATGCAATGTTGGAGCGAATGAAAAATTAGAATAACGGCGTAAAACGCATTCCTTCTAATTGCTTCATCCCTTTGAGTAGCCTTATACCGAGACAAAATAGCAATTAAAAAGCAAATTGGTGGCAATTATTTTCGCAGACCACCACACGTCACGACCATACATTTTATCTCTGAAAAGATCTTCCATTGCTATTTATGTCTTCTCCTTCATTCGTTATCTTAGGGGTCGGCGTGGTCGAGTCGGTAAAGCTCATGGTCGCTAAACCGAAAAGTCTCGAGTTCGAACCCTCGGGCAGATGAGGCTCGTTAGCTGGGGACAGCCACTCTTCCAGGAGAGACAACTCCAAAATTAAATAACTGCTGCCCTGTAGTTTGTTCTTGGTTGGACAAAGGCTATGGAAGCAAATCCAAAAAGAAAAGCAGGCTGAAATCGGAGTCAATGGCCTCAATGGCGCAAAACCAGTTGACACGTAACTCTTAATTGTGTTGGAGGCGTGGTCGAGTCGGCAAAAAGCTCATGGTTGATACATTCGAACAGTCTCGAGTTCAAACCCTCTGGCAGATAAATCTCGATCCCCTTCAACACAAATAATTAAGAACGAAGAAGAAGAAGAAGATTCGTTATCTTCTAGAAACTCAGTTGTCAAGTTGGTTCGATAAGTTATTTTATAAAATTGTGCGCTAACAATCTACCACTTTTTTTCTATTATTTCCATATTGAGTGATTATTGCTTACCTATCACCCTAGGCTATGTAAACTTGACACAAGCAAAAATGTTTTTAGATCTACGTGTCAATTAATTAAACATGAAAGTTTCTTACTTGAAACAGTGACAGGCGAATAAAAATAGGCAAATAAATAAAAACACAATTGGAAGAGAACTTCAGAAAATGATAACAACGAAAAATAACAATGATGACAGGAAGAATAAAACGGACATTTTAACAGTGATTACAATGATGACATTAAAAATGAATAAATTGTAAGCATACAACGTGGTAGATGGTATAAAGAAAACCTTGACTGTGCTATTGATTAGGATAGTCAGCATCAAGGTAGAGACAACAAAGTACAAGGGTGGACAGGCCATGCGGTCTTTTTTTTTTTTTTTAAATGGTGTTATTTCTTTATTTTGCCGATTCCCTTTCTTCATTCCCTGATATGAAATTATGAAATTCAATTAGATGGCAAAAAAATGCACACTGAAAATTTGAATTTTGGGTTGTAGGAAGGGGGGGGGACTCTTTTAAAAATTCCCCCTGGCCCCTCCAATACAGCAACCACCCCAGCCAGAATATATTGAACACTGTCATTCATAGTTTAAACAATCTCACGAGGTCTATAACAATGATGGTATTGATGATAATTCTAAACGCATTGATTTGTTTTAATCAATATTGTTGATAGGGTTTTGAAAGGGAGTGTGCACTAAGGCGGTTTTATTTGAGTTTTTTTTTTTTTCAAATAAATCAGCGGTTTCCTAAAATTGTGTACTGTAAATTCGTTTTAAAACACTAAAATGTAGATGCCTCTTACGTTTATCTCACCTTTTCAGTTCACTTATCTAACTTATAAAATCGAACTTCCCACAATAAGCATAACATTTAATGGGGGGGGGGAGGGGTGATTCTTATTCCCAAAAGAACTAGATTAATTTAAAAAACCTTAGGTCGAAAACGGCTTATTTCTACATTGAAGCTGGCTTTATTGTAAATCGTGGTTTTAACATAACGTAGTTATTAAAATGAAGAGCACTAAACGATTAAGACAAGATATTTGCATGCAGTACAACTTGTAAGGTAAAAAAAAGTACCATTGGGTATACAAATACAATTTGTGTTTAGCAATAATGTGTTGATTTCTATAAATTCACTTGTTTACAGACCTAGTTAAATTTTACCTCCACTAGTTCAAATATTGTAAAAATATGTAAAAAAATCTCTTGAGCGACTAAAGCTTTTAGTAAAGAAAGTTAATTAGTTTTATTTTCTTATTTTCATTTCCTTTAAAGGCGTCATGCTATAAATGTTTCTTTTTATTTGTTTTATTAAAAAAAAACTATTCAGATGCGGTGCTTAAATGCACGTTATATACTGAGTCAAACCGCAGACTAAAGGTTTTAGAACCTTTATAGGCTCTACAATTTGCATTATACACGAAAAAAATGGTTAACAAATGTTTAAAAAAAAAAGATGCAATTTATCGATTATTTTATAATAAATTCTCCGATTTGTCAACCTATGTTCAAGTTATTGATTCTAAGATCGAATGCTTAATCGATAACAAAAAACGATCGATGATAGTGTTGGTGTGGCTTTAGAAAAATAACGCAGCATTATATCGAACATTAAATGTACTCAAACAAATGGAGATCAAATATCACAGTTCTACAGTATGTTCCTGTATGTGGATAGTTTATTGTAGTGCATATTGCTGGAACATGTCAGTCATATGATTTTGACATACCTCACATAGTGTTTTAGAACTGTCACAACGACACACAGTAAAGGGTCGTTTATAAATGAGTTCGCACACATAGGGGTTACGATTGACGATACGTTTTGACGAAATATTACGAGAGATGAGGGGAGGTAGTGAATTTCGACATCACAATCGTGAATTCCAGTTACTAATTTAGGCTTTTAAAAAAGAATGAATTCTCTCCTCCATATTAAGCCACCCCAATACCAATGCAAAACAAGGGTTTAGTTTTATTTTCTCTGCCACGGCTACTCGCCGAGTCTGAGCCAATTCCCCCCCCCCCCCCTTTTCCCCCAGTGTCCAGTTAATACTATTGTATTAATACAAATATACTTATGTCCAAATAGACATAAAGAGTAAAATAATGTAAATCTTGTTTCCCTTAGTTTATCAAAATATGTAATACACACGTAACTAACTATAAAGCGAAAAGCTTAGCCAAGCTTAGTTTTATTTCGGTGTTAATATTTAATGTGAACTTTAAAGAAACGCACCCTAGTACATTTTATATTTTGAACTACAGTGCAGCCTACACTGTTATTAAAATGCTTAAACAAAAAACATATTTTAAAGCAAGTGTCGTTTCAAAACTAATTACCCACTCATAACCAAATGTTTCTAGCAGTCTACACCTTTTCTTGCAGTTACCCTACATTGTCTACAGCGATGTTAAGTGGTTGAATGCACAAATACTGCACTAAAAACTACACCAAATACCATAGTTCGGTTCTTGAATCGAGACCTTAGTACATCTCTCAGTGTATACAATTTTGATAGGTCGTTCACGTTGGTGTTATACAAAGAGGCCGGGGTCTCACATACTTTCGTAGGCCGATTTCTTACAAACAGAATAATAACTCTCCACCGTCATAGACTAAGGTCAGTAAAGTTCGATATGGTACCAGAGTTTCTTTAGGAAATCTCTTCGGAGGATGGGGCATGTAGTGCCCACCCCCACCACCTTCCGGGAGCAAGCCCCAGGCGAAACAGAAAACAATGCATGTTGTATATATAAAATACATACTTTTACCGGTCCGACTACACTACCTGGAAATGTGCGTGACCCCCCCCCCCCCCCCAACGAAAGTTCCAATTTACTGATAGTATAGTACCCTACCAATTTTAATAAATTTCGTGCAAAATTTTTTTTTTCTTTATATTGTTTTTACTGCGCTAAAGTACTAAAGCTAGACAAGTTTAAAAACAATGTTGTTATAAAAATAATCATACATTTAAAATAAAATAAAACACATCACTAATATTAAAAAGAAAAAACATGGGGTTAAACACGTTTTATGCGCAATGCTAGCGGTAGACGCTAAATAAAATAAAATATGGAAAGTATCATTCATGAAGAGGTCACGAACAGGTAAAGTACGTCTCCATTTTAAATCGGGCTCCACACCTTTATAGCAATGTAGCTTAAACACTTTTAAATCCCTAAAGTAAACATCAGGACACATTTATCCGAACTATATTCAATCCCTTCTCATGTCCTAATTTTAGACATAAATCTGGGGCAACGTGCCCAATCTTGACCTTGCTCTTACCCAAATCGTGCCTGGTTCCACATGAGTGACTCTGAGACTTGGGTAGCTTGTTAAACTATGTGCGTATGTGCAGCCACCCGTGACGTATCCGGTGACTCATCCTGGTGTGATCATCGTCGGCACGGTAGCTATCACGTGATCACAACAAGACGACCATTATCTGTAACAATTTTTTTCCCCTCTTGGTTTAAAGACTTCGTGTTTAAATAATGAATGACTAAACTCCAAGGCTGAGGAACGAACAATGCGAGATCGTGACTGAACGCCAGCGTCGTTGAGCTGTCTCAAGGTATCGATTTGCAACGTGGTATGTGTCTTTCAACTAAGGACGGACATTTTGTAATTCAGTCTTGTAAGCTAGTCTTGTAAAGCAAAAGTATTGCTGATCACGACATTTTTTTTAAATTAAAGAAAAACAGTTAGGTTGTGTGCTACCTGTCATTGCTAATAAAAAGAAAACGATGGTACATCTAAAATGTTTTTATGTATTTAGACCTCAAAGCGAAATAGATAAAACAAATACGCCAATCTTTTTGTCAACTACTTTTCAAAATGCTCTTAACAATTCATATTGTAAAAACGACAATAACTCGTGGAGAAGGCTTATATATGATTTGTTCTATTGTTATTTTTTAAAATTAAAACTTAAAGATCGATATGCTGACTACTAAATATAATTTTCTTAATGAACTTAATGTTGTTTAAAAGCCATACTAACAAATAATGCTTCCCCTTATTACCGACTAACTTGACTAAATATTCGTGAGCCTCATGTGTGAACTTCACATGACGTAACTGATCGAACGATCAATCCCAACTCACTTATTTGTAATGGATATGGTACTCCCTTAGTGTGTTTTAATAAACGATTGCGTCATAAGTTATTTTTGTAAAATTATATTTCTTAGTGTTGTTATTACAGGTGCACTAATGTGAAAAGTTGGAAAGCAATCTTTAAAAAAAGTACCACAAATCTATAAATACACCCACCGTCAGCCATAACATCAGGTTAAATAAATCAAGAAGTGCAAATGCAAATGCTGAGATGAAATAGAATGAAATTGTCGATCTATATTATTGAGCTCTGAAACGACGCTGACATGTAGGCCACTAGTTACAATCTATCTGAGGAATATTTCTTTTCACAGAAAACCGTCTAAACCAATATAAGTGTGCAAGCTCTTTCAAATCGTAAAGTGCTATATTAATACAAGAGTTAATGTACATGTTAAAAACGTAGTCAATTGTATCTTAAATTGCATTATAACCTGTTTAAAAAATGAAATAACATAAACACTCTGATATTTTAATGTAACAATGTGAGTTTAAATCCAGCTTACATTAACACAGTGCTGATATATTTCAACTTAGAATCCTGGTATGTTAATATTATATATACTACATTACATATCTACTTATTGTGTTGTTTTTTTAAATAGCTATTCTGCTCAAAAACGCTTTGCAATAAAGTTATTAAAATAACATTAGAAGAGTACTACGCATTATATTAATAAACAAATTACTCGAAAATATAGTGATTTTAAATATCTAATATATATTTAATGTAGCAGTAAATAAGATAGTTTCTTAGTTAAATAATTAGTTAGTTATCACAAGCAAGCGATACAGTTTTAGAAATTGTGTAAAATAAAAATCGTAGTTGGAAAAGAGAAAAAAAATAAAGGAACGAAGATAATATAAAACTAAGAACAGGAAAAACCGAAAATTAATATGCAACATTATGAAAATAATTTATATTATAAGAAACTATGAAAGAAAAATATTCACTAGAGAAATATAAATTAGAAGAAAATAAATGCATCAAAGGAATGTAAATAACGCGGGCTAAAGAAGGCCACATATGATGACGGGATGTATGTAGGACACGGTTTACCAGGTCAGAATGTGGGACGGTGTTTGACACGCACCCCATTTTTTTTTTGTTAAGTCGGCCGTAACGCCAGCATGAACTGCTCTATGACGTGGTAGCTCTAGAGAGCATTCCACTTTATAGGATTTCTTTTATAAGAAATTTTCTACCTGCTAAACGTTTTTTTTTAAACGTTGTTTTAATGTCGCGTTGACGAAAATTCGATAAACAGTCTTCGTCTTTCTTTTAAAAGAGGTTTTTATAACTGGAACGCCATTAAATATTGAATGAGTGTTTAAGTCAGGAAAATACGTCACGTGATTTCACTAGCCAATGAACGCGCGCCGTGTACATGATCACGCGCTTTTATATAGTTAATTATTTTGTTTAAAAAAAGATTAACATTTTTTGCTGAAAAGAACAAAGTCAGTGAATAGGAGAGGGGGATCACGATTTTCGTGACGTCACCGTGGAGCAGTTTTAAAATAAATAGCAGACGATTAGCTGCATTAGACACCATATCCTTGCTCAATATCTCACCGTGAACTGAAACCAACCCTCAAAAGTGAGTTGCTACAGTTTTTTTATATACTTTTTTTTACGCTTTATGAAACTTTTCGTATATCTTAATGAAAGATTTGAATGATTTTTATTGCACTTTGTTTTAAAATATTACATGAATATTTATTTAAGTTTGGCTTTTTGTTCACAAATAATGTAATGCTTGTTTTTTTAACTATATTTAAATGAAAGGATTGAATAATTTTTAAAAGCACTTCGTTTTTAAATACTAGGGGATTATTTATTGGAATGACTATTTTTTTACAACTAATGTAATGAGTGTAATTGTATCTATGAACCTAGTTCTACTACTCAGTTATTAAACACTTGGCTTTTACCATGTATATATTATATCCTCTACAACTCAATGTTAACTCTCCACAGTCTACAATGGCCGCTAAAATGACCTGTGTTGTCGCCCTTGCCCTACTCGCACTTGTGTGCATCGTGCAAGCCGCCCCCGTAAGTTTTGATTTGATTGAATACATGTGTGATCAACTATGACCGTTTGATTCATTAAGCCCTCTTAATTAACTTTAAGTTTTCAGTCAACCGTAAAGTATTTATAAAATGCTGTCATGATGTTGAAAACTTTGCTACACGAGTTACTAATCCCAAAAAAATCGATTATCTGACTTGCAGCTCTATCCACAATTAAAAAAAGAATAAATTTCAAAATTACATTATTGCATCTTTATACAAAACGTATAGATCTGCTTTTGTTTTATTTAACATACAGTATAAAAAGCTTGAACATGTGTGTATATTTGAAGAGATAAATAGAAACGAAACTACTAGATTACAATTTATACCTTAAAAATAAAAAGTTTGTTCTGGTATTTGGCTATAATTTAAAGAAATTATCAAAATGCAAAAGACTTAATTTGCAGTTGATGATCAGAATGTGAATTAATACGCGCAATACAGCTTGTGTATAGTGTAATGTTTCAAATTTACAAGAATTTATCTCATAACAAGAATAATAATTTAAAAAAAGAATAATTTGGATTTCCTTTTTTTATTACATTGCTAACATTTAAAGATTATAATGACTGAATATAGAAATAGTTAATTATTTTAAGAAAAAAAAGCTTTTTCTTAGTTTAAGTAAATCGAGACTTAACATAGATTGTATATCAAATCGACTATATAAACAAATGTAAACAACACCTAATGTAAATAAATGTGTTTCACTTACTGCAGTTTTGTATTTCAAATGATACGATTTAAACAAGGAACCTTTTGTCTTTTTTAACAGAAGGGAGGAGCAGGCGCACCTACTGGGGTACCACCAAGTGGAGCACCCCATGGCGATGGGGTAATGACATTTATTTTTCTTATGTATAGATTTAAAAAAAAATATTTTCTTTAAAAAATTTAATTGTAAACCTGCTTAGTTAATTATGTTAAAACAGTGTATATTTTCTAAAATGTCATTATTTTAAAACTTTTGCGATTTTATTATTTTAAATTTATTCTTAAATGTTTAATTTTATATTTTTTTTTATTTACCAATTTGTTTTTCTAATAGAAAAGACCAACAGGTCAACCACCAGCTGATGGTGTAAGTTTTTATTTATTGTTTTTTTTTAGTAAATTGAAATCTTGTTGTAATCAATAATGGTGTCTACCAATTTTAATTTGACTTTTAAGTTTTTAAAAAATATTAGTGAATTTGTTTGCAAATTAGTAAAATATATTTAAAAATATATGTATTATTCTCTTTTACAGAGCAGACCAACTGGAGCCCCACATGCTGATGACGTAAGTCATCAAAAATTATAATGAAAAATATAAATACATATAATCAAACATATACATAAATATAATAATATAATAAAAAATATAATTTAAAATAAAACAATAAAATAAAATTGATTTTTTTAGAAAAAGAAAACCCAATATCACATACACAAATGCAAATAGGCATGAAAACGCCGACATGCTAGAAAAACAACACATTTGTGTGTGCTACTGTCTGTGTGATTGTTTTATTGTTTCATCTAGATCGTCTAATAACAATGTTGGTAATATTCTTTTCCACAGAAGAAACCAACTGGACAACCACCAGCTGATGCTGTAAGTCTGAGTTTTCTAAACTGCTTCAATTGTAAATGCAAATATTGATTATTTCAGGAAGAAAAATAATATCATATACAAAAGTGAAAACATACATACAAAAACATACCAAAATACGTGTAAATGACACATGTAAGACACACACACACACACGCATACATATATATGTATATATATATATATATATATATATATATATATATATATATATATATATATATATATATATATATATATATATATATATATATATATATATTCACGTTTAATGTGCTACAATATGAGTGATTATATTTCATTTCTACAACAGAAAAAACCAACTGGAGCCCCACCAGCTGGCCAAAAGCCAAAGGTAAATACTCAAATGTTTTATTGTTGTTGTTTTGTTACTGTATAAAACCAAATAAAGAGCTTAAGTAGATGCTAAGAATGTATTCTTAATTAATATGTTAATGTATAGTACTCCTTAGTAGTAGCATTTCATCCTGAACAAAGTAGCCACAACAATCCAATGCATAACATTACTTATCTGTTACTATGTTTAGTTATAATTATAATAAATTTAGTTATAATATTATTGTGTTTTATCTCAACAGTCTCATTAAATACGACGAATGGCCATGATCAAGCTAGTTATTTGAAACATGTAAGTGTATGACTTTCTATCCTATTTAGTTCCATCACGATATTATTTTAATGTTGAATTAAATAGAAATGTCATCCTTTTTAAAATGTGTTGTTGTTTACCTTAAAATGTGTTATTTCGTTGTAAAATATATTTTTTTACTTTCAGCAATTACAGAATAGCTTTTGGTAAATTTCAAGTGAAAAAGTAGATTAATTTCAAGACTTCAAAATTACAAAAAACTCTTTTGGATTCAGTTTTGTTTTTTGTTTTTACTCGTCCATGTAAAATGTTTAAATTATTTGTTGACACATCTGGGCAAAATAAAACTTTATTTTTGTTCATAAACTTCAACTTATTTTGTGATTTTCAACTCTGTTTGTTCAGTCATTCTAAATATTTTTCAGTGTTTTAAGTTATATTTTGTTTCGTGTATTTACGTGGGATGAAATGCCGAAAAATCAAGTTTTGTATTTTCCATTCAACTTTGGTACACACAACAGTTATCATTAGAAATTTTAAAAAATAATGTAAAATCTTTTTCTTTTTAAAAGAAAAGAATAAATATTAATTTTAACTTTAAATGTACTATATTATGTAATTTTAAAAGATATGAACGTGTTACTATTTGATAGCAGTTTACATATTGCTTGTATGATGCCTCTTTCACAAGGGCATATATACTTAAGCAAGACGACATTAAAACAGAAGCTCCTGAATATTGATATGTCTCTTTACTTGTTATATAATTTAATTAAAAAAAAAATTAGTTGACGATGCCTTGTATTTTTATATAAAGAATTGCTACGACTTTTAAAGCAGTGTTGTACTTTTAGCAGTTAAAAACACATAATCTATCAACACATTTTCATGTGAAGTTAAATGATATCACTGTTACCATACTATGAATAGTTGTTGGTCTAATTTGGAGTTGGTTTGTTAAAACTATAATGAGTTTAGACTTTATACCAACCAAACCATACATTGCACAAAAGTTACAGAATGGGAGCAATTATTCACATATGCTAAGCTTTACATTCATTATCGTTAGAGTTCATCTTTGTCAAGGACTTTGGCATAAAGGGGGACAGTATTGTCTGGGCTATGCCCAGCCGCCTGTGTTCCCCTAAAGTGTGTTAGATACCCATCCGAGCTGGCTGAACTCAGGGACATTGTACTGACTAGAAACCGGATTCAAACTCGAGACTTCCAGGTTAGCAGCCTAGAGCTCTACCGCAAGGCCACTCCGTCCCAAACCTTTTCATTAGAAGTTGTAAAAGAATGGACAACAAATATATATATAAGACAATGGGTAACTTAAGACCCATTCTATAATTGTTCAAATTTATACAAGACATATTTTGTATCTTTATATACACCACCAATAGTTTATGTTGCATTTGATTAAAACAAATAGCTGTTCCGTTTAAAATGATTATGGATAGCTTAAAATAAACAAGAATTTTAAAATAAATCAAAGATTCAGTTTTAAATTTAAACCAATATGAAAAATACAGAGGCGTAATAAGGGGATATCTGGTTGGACTGGCGCACCGATCCCAATTTTATTGGGAGCGCTAACTGGCTTGGAAAAAATAATAGTTCGCTACATTCACTGGCTAGAATGAATAGTTACGCCTCTGGAAACATATTTTCATCAGAAACAGCGGAGACGGAACACTAATCAGTTAGTCTGGTATCTTACTAATATAAATTTTGTTATTATTTAATTATTTTTAATTCTTATTTTACTGTTTCAAATTGAAATAGTTATCAATTTACATTTTGTAATAAATACGGCATTTCCTTTTGCAGAAAGATGGAAAGCAGGTATGATTTTAATTATATATTGATTCTTAGTTTTAAATACTAGTTTACATTATATGACGTAGGTGGTTGGTCGATAAAAGTGAAACAAATTCTTTTTATTGCTTTTATGATACAACAAAAATATATACAAGTAATTTTGTGTTATATATAACCTAATGTTAAGATTCATGGAATGGTTGATGCTTAAGGATACTTGTGAATTACAAAACGTAAAGTTAAATACGTTGTACATAGGGCCTACAAGTTACGAAACAAAGGTTTAACATGAAGAAATTAATTTATTTTTAGTTAACATTTAGATAATCGAAAAATTTTAATTTTCCATTCGCGCTCAAGATCTCGGCATATGAAGTGATAGTGTGGTCTGCACTTTGCCCAGCCGTCTTTGTTTTCCTAAACATGAGTAAGGTACCCATTAGAGCTGGGTGGACTCAGTGACATTATACAGACTAATCCCGGATTTGAACTCGAGACATTTTGATCAGCAGTTTATCTCGATACCGCTAGGCCATTCCGTACCATATCGCATGCACGATAGTATGTATAGCTCCAACATGTAAAGTACAATCTGCTTGCTCTGATTGCAGGACAAACCAAATGGTTCACCATCCCTTGACAACGTAAGTCAATACTTTAATCCCTCGGTTTTATTGAAGAGCACAGATGTACAAGCAGGCCTTACATAGAAACAAAACAATCCTCACCCTCAATCTTTCCAACGCAATTTTAACTTTCATCTTGCAACTTTATAATTGTCTAACTTAATCTCTCTGTTTTTACCATCTCTCTCTATATATAATGCTTATCTAGCTTACATAAACAGTACAAACATAACAGTGTTTGTAATCTATGTTTTATTTTTGAAAGATAAAAATCGATAAGTAACTGAAACTAAATACTATGCCTGGTTAATAAATGTATAAAGAAATCCACTCGTGCAAATAAAGTATATATATATATATATATATATATATATATATATATATATATATATATATATATATATATATATATATATATATATCATACACACATGCATATATAGATAGTTAGAAAGATATAGATATACATAAGTATAATTTTAAACATGCTTCATGTTAATCTATTGTGATCTATTTCCTCGACCTGATTTGTCCATACCAGTGTTATTGATATATCTGCACAATATAAAATGAATAGTACTAGTGTGTAATCTATGCGCTAATGTTTTATGTTTGAATAGAAAGAGTCTACTGGATCACCATCCGTGGATAGTGTAAGTCATTACGTAGCAGATGATAAGTATTATGCAATAATAATAAATGTATAAAGATATCTAATCCTGTAATGACTTTATATATATATATATATATATATATATATATATATATATATATATATATATATATATATATATATATACGAATAATTTTGTTTTTCCCGTTGGGCAGAAATAAGCCTCTGGAGAATTCATCTGCTGAAAAAGTATGTAGTTCATTAGTTTATTATCTATATAACCATGCTCAACATGTATATCTATTGTTATCTGTTTTTACGATTTAATACGTCCATAGTCCTTTATTCTATTTATAACTAACTACGTTACTATAAAATACTTAAACTATGTTTCATGTCAATGTAATGCAAATGCTGATAAAATATTTCTTTATCCTTCAGAGCAAACCAACAGGACCACCTCCTGCTAAAGTAGTAAGTGAAAACATTTGCCACGTATAAAATAAGTTGTATCTACGTATTAAAGATTGCTAGTTTAAAATACCAATTTAAATATTTCCTAATAAAAAAACACTTTTTAAAAGAATTAACTCAAAAGAAGAAAGCAAGAATAATTTAAACTGAAATAATTTTTAAACAATATTGTTTCATTAAATCAATTTTTTAATTACTATGTAGTATTTCAATAGTAAATTATTGTTAAATCATTTAATTAGTTCCTCTATTTACATATTTTCCTCGCTAAATACTTCAATAATCTTTCTAAATAGTGTTTTTAATATTAAAAATAAAGGGATAGCATCGGTATTTAGAAATACAGTATTCAGATTTATGATTATTCCCCTTATCATTATTTAAAATAAAAAATCAATTTTTTAAATAATTTAGCGCGCTGAACCTTCAAACCCACCACCATCCTGCCAAAAAAACACAAAAGGTAGTTGTCTATGGACATTTCTAAAAGTTTTTAAAATAATCCATAAAAAAGTGTAATATTTCATTTTGAGATTTTTGTTTAAAAGTTTATTTTAGTTACAGAAAGTTTGTCTCCATACATTTTCGACTAATTATGTTTCACATTATATATATATATATATACATATATATATATATATATATATATATATATATATATATATATATATATATATAATTATATATATATATATATATCCACGTTACGACTTTATTTAGGCTGCAGATAAAGGACAAGGCGTAAAAACATTGTTTTTACTTTTTAAAGTTTTTTTTTTATTTCATCATTAGTATTGGTTACCGGCTAGAATATCAATACTTTATAAATTATTTGTATAATTATTAGATGTGTAGGATTATAATAACATAACAAAATTTTAATTCACAAAACTGATAAGGACTAGACGTTATTAAAAGATTTTATTTTTAAATAGTTAGTCACATCAGGGTATCAATTTAAAAAATTTCCATGACGAGCATGTGAATTTATAAAGTATTATTAATATTCCGCATTATTATGCACATTTTATTTGGAGTTCACTTGGTGTTCAATTCTTTTTCAACGAGATCTTATTCTATTTTGAAAAGTGTAAAGTCTATATCCCTAGATGCCATCCCCTGTTGTTTCATATAAGAATATTTCAGAAAGTTTAGGGGAATTCACTCCCGGTTTATTTCAATTGTGACGTTATTTGTTTTGAAAACATTACAACAATCAATACATGTTTTATTTGAAAGTCTCAAAAAATATTTGAATTTTGCAAACTATAGAAGCCAGTATGACGTATTTTACACATTAAACTATCGACACAGCAGATAAAGTATAGCTCTTCTGTTGACGACTGCAAGTAAAGTGTTTATGTTCCCTGTCTTAAGTCAGATACACATCGTTATGTAATAAGTAAGGAAAGATTTATGAATGAAGATTTATGCTTTATTTCCACAGACAAACTAACCATCCTACTAGAACAGTTGTGGTGAGATGAGTTCTTAAATAACTT